GAACCTCAGAATGTGATCTTACTTGGAAATAGTGTCTTTGCAGATGTGATTAGTCAAGGTGAGGATCAGAGTGGGTCCTAAATCCAATGGCTGGTATTGTCACAAGAATGGGAGATTTGGACAAAGAGACTCAGACACAGAGAGAGGACAGCCACATGAAGACAGAGGCAGAAATTTGAGTGATAGACCTACAAACCAAGGAATGCCAAGGTTTGCTGGCATTTCCAGAAGCTCTGGAAGAGTCAAAGAAGGATTCCTTCCTAGGGCTTTCAGAGAGATTATGGCCCATGCCAACACCTTGATTCCAGACTTCTCACTTCCAGAACAGTGAGAAAATAAATTTCTGCTGTTTTAGGTCACCCAGTTTGTGATACTCTGTTGCAGCTGCCCTAAGAAACTAAAACATAGCCCGTCTGACTTTTTGTGAGAAGCTAAACATTTGGATTTTTTTTAATGTTAAATCTTCACAATTTTTCAATGCTGTGTTCTTTCTTTCTTTGCTTTTAGCTAATGGGAATCCAAACAAAACACATCAATGGTCAGATCAAGCCTCCAGGCCACCCATTTGTACCTCTGCAATAAAGAAACTAAACACAGTAAAGGGATATGACTAACAAGCATGAGAAGGGAGGTAAATGAACTGAGATGTGGCATAAATGAGCTGAATCTTCATCTATCATAGCAGGAAATAATTGGAAAATGTCTAAAGTTGATAAATCAGGAAATGGTAAGAACACGATTCAAAGTAGTGGCTTCTGGAAAATGTACAGGAGTTTGGGCAGGTAACTTTTACTCTTCGTTATAAGTTCTTTTATATTCTTTGATTTTAAAAGGTTGATATTAGGAAGTTGGTCTAGAAGTGAGGGAGTAAATTGTTCTGCCAGGAATAATAGAAGATGCCACTGGCTGAGAGATGTTTGGAGCTGTAACTAAATGCACCACCTCTCTCTGAAGAAAAATAGGTTTTAGTACTTTTGAAAGAATGGACAGAGTGCGTAGGTTTCTACACTTTTCTGGTTCCCAGAATATCTTTATGAAGATCACGAGTGTCCTTCATCCTGAGCATGCTTTGAACTATGGAAATGAAACCACTGAGTAATGTAATCTGTTACATTTTACAATATTGGGAAACTAAATAATTAAAAATATATTCTGATTTTATTTTTAAAAACACTTACCTATTTATTTTATTTTATTTTATTTTTATCTATTTATTTTAGAGAGAGAGAGAATGAGTTGGGTGAGCGGCAGAGGGAGAAGGAGAGAGAGAATCCACAAGCAAACTCCCCACTGAGTGCAGAGCCTGAGTAAGCTCAGATCCAGATCCACAGGGCTCCATCCCAGGACCCTGAGATCACGGACCTGAGCGGAAACCAAGAATCAGCTGCTCTACTGACTGAGCCACCCAGGCGCCGCATTCTGATTTCATTTTTGAAATCACCTCTGAAAAACCTTGGAAGAACCATCTGTGTTTCATGTAAGTGTTTGTGCCCTTCAAGGAGGGAATATAGATCCCTAATTATACAACCATTCGTGACATATGACATGACTAATGATTTTAAATGATAAGCCATAGAGATTGCACAAGGGGAAAATCATCTCCAGAACTACACCCAGCTTACCTTGAAATTCTTGTTTCTATGAAAACCTACCAACACATCAGCAGTGTATATTTATATGAAGTTTGCAAATTGAATTTATATATTCAGGTAGTTATTTGAGATCACTGGGTTGCTTCTCAGAACAACATTAAGAAATTAAAATTATATTAAACTTGAGAAACAGGTTTATTATGTCACTTTCTTCCCTCTGAAACACTGCAGGAAAAGTGGGCCAATAGCCACAATATGTCCATCTGTTCACACTAGACCCGAAGGTCCTTACTCAAAGGCAAATCTGCTTAAGGCCTTCCCCCAACCTAAATCCTTCACTGAATCTCCACCGCCTTCATGACTGTTAAGGTCTTTCATGATCTGACCTCTGCTCATCTTCCTGGCCTCATCCCTTAGCTCTCCAACCGCCCTGATGTGGAGGTTGCTGGTCCTTGGATCTGAACTCCTGGGCATACATAGTTCCTTCTTTCTCAGTCCTCTTTCCTATGGCTAACTCCTACTTATTCATGAAAGTTCAAGTTAGATCTATCCCTCCTCCAAGAAGAGGTCTTCTTCATCGTGTCACAGCTGGGTTGTATGCTATCCTGGATATTTCCACAGGATCTTATTGGATAATTCATCACAGCTTGACATGCTCACTCATTCTCTCCTGGCCCCAATTTTACTGGTGGACTTGTAACTTTATGACCATAAAAGTTGGGTTTAATGAGGAAGTTTCTTCTTTTGTTTCTAAATAACGGCTTCAGTTCTTAGTTCATGTGTAAAAAAGACAAATCTCAAGCCAGATGAATAACCCAGTCCCTGCCTGTTCTGCCTAATCTGACCCCTAGATCCCTTCACCTCCAATTGTCCTCTTCCCACTCCCCACAGGGGGTATCCTAGTTTAATAGCAGAATTATACAAATTCAAAGGGAAAAAAATAATAGACAAGAAAGAAAAAGAAAGAGCATTGTTTTTTCATAGTATAATGAATGCATTCATAATCAACTCTCCTGACTTTTCTTTTGAATGATTTGAATATAAGTTTCCTAGAGGTTTGAATCATGTCCTGTTGTATAGCATATTTGCATTAAATAGGAGAAAAATCACTAAATATTTATTGCTGATGACAATCTTGCAAATGACCTGATTTCCATCAATCTCTGGACTTATTAGCAGAAACATTGCATGAGGGTTTTTTTCTTGTACAAAATTCTAATCGAGAAAGACAGGATTCATGAAAGTTAAACAGTTTGCCCCATTTTACAAGAAAAAAAAGTATAAAACAGATGATAAGAATGTATCAACTTAGATCCAGACGGAAGCAGAAATTCTGCAGGATTTTTTTTCCTGATGACTTTTTGATATTTGCTCCAAAAATAATCCAGATGTATGAAGGTCTTTGATTTCAAAAAATTTTCCAAAAACAAAAGAAAACTCAAACTGCCCATATTTCAGCAAAGGCAGAACTAGCCTAAGTCCGAGAAAAGTTTTTGGTCCTATGTCATTGACTTTCCTCAAAAGTACTTTCCAAAATCTCCTGCTCTAGCCTCTTTTCCTGCTGATATTCACATCAGAGTCCAAAGAGAAATTTTTATATCATCGGTAAAACTTAACTGTCATTTTTGCATGTTTGTTAATCCAATAGTGCTGTGAACAGCTACAGTGCAGAAGCATCCTTCTAAGGACATTCACAGACAATAGCTCATTCATTTTTCAGAACACTCCTGGGACATAGGTATTATTTTTATTATTATTGTTATTGTTATTATTATTATTATGATTAGCATCCCTGCTTCACAAATGTAGAAATGTAAGATCAGAGAAATTATGTCATTTTCTCAACATCACACATCCAGCAAGGAGCAGAGCCTTAAGTGACATCTGTAAACACTGGATAAAAGAGAGATGAAATGAGAATTCGTTGAAAGAGGACAAATAGTTTTGAAGCATTTTTTTTCACAGTTGTTTGTGAAATGACAGTGGGTTAATGCCTCACAAGATAATGTGAAGTCAAAGTGTACATGTTTTCGTCCCCTGACCACCGAGTGGGAAAGGCCAGGACAGGTTTTTAATTACTTTGGAAAGCCCAGGACAGTTTTGTTTTTGTTTTTGTTTTGTTTTTTTTTTTCCAATCAGGCCTTTTTTAAATACCTGCATTGATGACAAAGATTTGTTGACTCCTCCTGTATCCCTGGAAGGCCCCATTCTCGACCCAAAGCCGACTTGTTTTTTCTCTGACAGCACACTTTCCATCTCTTCTGGTGGAAGGTTGATTTGAAATCTGTTTATAAAGCATTCCAGCACCCCCCAATATAGTGGAGTTGAGACTCTTCTTCACTGTCACTAAAAGAAGCCATTGCACCTTTTGCCTCTATCACTTTCTGGCCTCGGGCTAAGGATGTAAGTGGGAGACGCAGGGTCCCTATTTGTCTCTCTCAGGATGGGGAGTCCCTAGGTGTCTAGGACACCTGACTCAGTCTCATATCTGCATGACCTTCTCATCCCTTCCAGCAATAGCTTCTCAGAGCAAGAACATGAGCTAACAGGCACCAGTTTCTGTTTCCCTAGCCTTATGAACTCCATACAATGCACAGGAAAAGTCTTCCATTATGAAAGGGCCCATCTCTGCTGTGCGCTTCAGGGAACGGGCAGGGTTCTTTAAGGGCTCCGACTAGCTCCATCACATTAACGTCACTCCCGTATCACTTTTCTCAGAGATTTTGAAGGCTGGAAAGCAGTAACCCTGTTTTTAAGAGAGTCTTGACTTCCCTCTGTGTTTACATAAAGTGCAAAAAATGAAACAGTTCACAGCTCATGGTCATTGTTGGATTTTACCCTTAACAGCCTGGAGGATTTGTGCACAATTAATCTTCCCTCTGGTTTTCTTTGCCTTGGAACTAAGATCTGCAAGAGGTTTGCTGCGGTGGGAGCTGTGTGGCTGAGGCTCTAACAGTCTGAGAGGGCAGCTGGATCCAAGGGATTAGAGGTCATGATAGCTGAGCCTGTCACTTGGCAGGAGGAAACCCGAAGGTAGGTCTTGACAAGTCAGAGTGTGTGTGATCTCTCTGATAACTGTTCCCCTGCTGCGCTCGCCTGACCAATGAGACAGGTTCCCCTGAAAATTGTTTGGAACATCGAGTCTTATATTTAATGTTTCAACAGATGACTGCAATTCAATAGAAATAAATTAATTCAAAACAGACACTTTTTGGAGTACATCTAACACTATATACTTGTAAGCTGCTTTCAAGATATGTTCTACGTTATTCACATCAATTAAGAAATTTTAGGATTACATGTTGTCTGACACCCATTTTACCCTTTATAATAGCTGCACCCATGTATCACTTTGAATTCATTTTCATGCTTGAATCTTTCTCTCTCTTGGAGTTTTGAAATCCAGTCCTTTGATGAAATCTCGAGAAAGAAGCATCATATGGTGGCAAGAATGAGAGGCTGAGTCAGATCTACTCTGGTTCTGCTGCCAGTAAGTATTTTCATTTAATCTCTCTTAGCCTCAATTTTCATTTCTGTGAAATGACAGGAATGATAGCTTCCTCACCTATTGTTACAAAGTTCTTATAATAATACTGAGTGATTCACATAAATAATATGAGTCAGCATGTGAGGTAGGTACTGTTGTCTATTGTGTAGAAGAGGGATCTAAGGTTTGAAATGCCAGATGACATCCCCAATGTCACTTATAATAATATACTGAATGGAGTTTATGCACCACCTCAGACCTCAGGTCAGGCTCCCTCTGAACCCACACCCCAATCTTGGTCTCTTGTTCAGTGAGCTTGCCTAATCTAATATCACCCCCTCATGAACCAGCAGCAGCTTCAGCACCCAGGTCCAGGCTGACCCACTGACTGACTCCCCCCACTACTCCCAGATTAGATGAAGTCCTGCACCATTTTCCTGGCACAGCTCATAGCAGGTGATTAATGCCATGTGAAGGGCATTGGACAGCAGAAGGCAGGAAATGGCAAGGAGTCAGGAGATGAGTGCATCTCCCTTCTTCCCCGTGATGGGCTATCCCCACATTGGACAGTGCCACACGGCACCTTCAGAGACTTCCTGTGTGGCCAGGCCACCAGTGTGTTTGCTTGTAAAGCTGTGACCAGGTCAGTAATTCACCACGTCATGTTTGCTTCTCCTCCTCCCTTTTTCCTTTCCATCATTTTTGATGGAAAGCAGTCGATATGATCATACTCTAGACCCGTGCCATCTGATACAGTAGCCACTGGCTTCGTGTGGCTATTTAAATGTGAATCAATTAAAATTGAATAAAATTTGAGATTCAGGGTCTCTATCACACTAGTCACATTTCAGGTGCTGGACAGCTCAGCTATAGAATAATTCCAACATTGCAGAAAGTTCTGTGGAACTATAACCAATATTTCACACAGAATTTCTTTCTTTCTTTTTTGAAATTTTATTTATTTATTTGACTTACAGAGAGAGGGAGCACAAGCAGGGGGAAAGGCAGTGGGAGGGGGAGAAGCAGGCTCCAAGCTGAGCAGGGAGCCCAGTCCAGGGCTTGATCCCACAACCCCGGGATCATGACCTGAGCCGAAGGCAGATGTTCAACCAACTAAACCATCCAGGGCCCCCTCACACAGAATTTCTATTTTGAGCAGCTCCCTTCTCCAACAGGCACCTTCTATCTTTCCAACCGGCTCTAGTAACCTCACTTAATTACTCTGTAACCTCATTTGGACCATAGGTATAGGCCCTGAGTTCTCTCACTGCCTTCCTCCTCTTTGCATGTCCTCATCAACCCCCCTGCCCTACTTAAGTGATACGTCACTTAATTCTGAATTCTCTCCTCCCTTTACTATATTCACCTGATGCAGGATATCTTTCATTTGCCCCTCTAGATGCACATGTAGATGGTCTACAGTCTTCAACGAACTCATTGTTCTCTGGATTCCGTTGGGGCTCAGCCCATGGCAAACCCAGAAGGAAACCAAAGGGAGGAAGGGAAGCAGGTGAGGCTACTTACTCCTCTAGCTCCTCTAAGAAGTCACCATGGGCTGCATCCCTCATTGGAAAGACTCAGTTCAGGAAAGTCCTTCAACTCTTCTCTGTTTAACAAACAAACAAAAAACTCCTGGATAACTATTGAGCCCTGACAGTCACCTATGACCTGAACTACCCATCATGAACTGGGTGTTATATATTCCATCAAGACATGCACAGCAGATTTCTTATAAAATAAAAATGGTAGGCTCAGTCTCATAAGCAGGTCTGGAAGCATAAGCAAGTGGCACAGACTCAAATGCTACTGCTCCAGCTGCTCTGTTGCCTCTTTCTCAGTCTACACCAGGGCCCTGTGAGGAGTTCCCCATGGCCAGTTAATAGAGGAAAAAACATAAGCTAGATTTATCACTGGATCTACCTGTTGCACCATCACCAGCTGGAAGTGGGTGGCTTCTACACTAACCCTCAGCCAAAGGGTGGCCCAGAAAGACAATGGTAAAGGAGAATCCCTATGCATAGAACTCTAGATGCTGCATCTCATTGTCCATTTCATGTGGGAGAAGAGATAGCCCGACGTACAGAACTGTACAGTGATACAGGGGCAGTGGCTCTGTGGGTCGGGGACCTGGAAAGATTAATGTTGGAACATTGGTGGCATGATTTCAGTGCTTTTGCCAGTTCCACCAGTTTTTGGATTCTTGGAACACCTTATCCACCACCAACAAATCCCACACAGCATTGCCCAAGACTAGGCAGTGTATTTTATGGCAAAAGAAGTGGAACAATGGGCTCAGTGTCCCTGAATTTCATTGATCTTACCACATGCCCCATTACCTGGAAGTAGCTGGTTTGACACAACAGTGAAAGGGCCTGCTGAAGGCTTAGTCCTGACACCAGCTGGAGACATCGCCCTTGAAGTTGCTCTGCTGACCTGTAAATTAAGGTACACTTTCAGCCAGTGACCTATGTATGGTGTCTTCTTTTTCCTAACCAGGACGCACAGGCCTCAGAACCGAAGGTTGGAGCTGGAAGTGGTCTCTCTTACTATTACATGATACACTTGAAGAATATTTGCTTTTTGTCCCTGTGACCTTGGCCTCTGTGGATTTGAAGATCCTAGTGCCCAAGGGAACAAAGCGAAGAATGGGGCTATTGTGCTGACTGGGGTCATTGATCCCCATTACCAGGGAGAAATTGTGTTGCTGCTACAAGAGGATGGCAGAGAGCTGTGTGAAGAGCACAGAGGATTTGCTGGATGCCTCCTACTACTCAATTGTCCAGTCATCCTTGTCAATGGGGAGTGGTAGCCACAGAATAAAATAAGACCACTAAGGATGCAAATCCCATAAGAATAAAGGTTTGAGTCCCTCCTACCAGGAAAAGAACTCCATCCAGCTGAGATGCTCCCAGAGGATAAGAGAAACACGAAGTGAATGTGGAAGAAAACAGATATGATCACCACCTACTTAGACCTCATGTGCAGTCACAGAAGCAGGGAGGGTAATAGGTATGTTTCATATTAATTACTTACTTTTCCATTAATTACTTACTTTTCCCTTATCCTAGCCATCTGATACAAAGAACACCAGTGTTAACTAATATTTCAGGTTTCAGGTGGAACCATGACTGACCAGACATTTTCCTGTAATGTGGACTCTAAATGTCTCCTGTAACAGGGACACAAGTTTGCACCTGCATTAAGAGCAAAAGATGAGGGGCGCCTTGGTGGCTCAGTCAGTTAAGCATCTGCCTTTGGCTCATGTCATGTTCCCAGGGTCCTGGGATTGAGCCCCACGTCGGGCTCCCTGCTCAGTGGGGAGCCTGCTTCTCCCTATCCCTCTGCCTGCTATGCCCCCTGCTTGTGCTCATGCTTTCTCTCTCTGTCAAAAAACAAAAAACAAAAAACCCCCAAAAACAAACAAACAAACAAAACAGCAAAAGTTGATGCTGAAGGAGGAAGGGGCTGGACCCTGCTGAGTATCTTCTGTTCACGTCTCCAGATCCAATCTCCATTCTCCTCTTCCCCACTCTGTGCTCTAAGAGGAGAGCCTTCCTGGGAAATGTGGAAGTCTCCCTTGCCTTCTGTTTCTGAATAGGTTCAAATTATGGGGACACCTACAAGGAGACTAGAGGGAGGGATAGGAGGGAGGTTGGAATGTTGATTTCCAGGCACCCTCTCTGAGGAGGTTGCTGCCTGGTGGCTGTTTTAGTTAGCTATCAAAAAACTAACTGACTGGGGCACCTGCATGGCTCAGTTGGTTGCCTCCAGTTCTGGTCTCATGATCCCAGGGTTGGGCTTCCTGCTCAGGGGAAGTCTGTTTCTTGCTCTCCCTCTGCCTCTCCTCTTGCTCGTGCTCTCTCTGTCAAATAAATAACTAAAATCTTTTATTAAAAAAAAAAAGAAACCTGACTGACTTAGCAGTGCGTGGGTGCCCCAGTGGGTTAAGCATCTGACTCTTGGTTTCAGCTCAGGTCATGATCTCCGGGTCATAAGATCAAGCCCCAAATTGGGCTCTGCACTCAGCAGGGAGTCTGCTTGAGACTTTCTCCCTCTGCCACTCCCCCTACTTGTGTTTTCTCTCTGTGTCAAACAAATAAATAAATCCTGTAAAAAAAAAAAACCCACAAATGACTGACTTAGAATCACCACCATTTTATTGTTTCCCATGATTCTGTGAGTTGACCAAAGTTCCACTGAATGATTTTTCCACTGGTCTCACAAGGAATCTCTCACAAAGCTGCAGTCACATGGTGTCTCACCAGACTGAGAGCAAGGATACGTCTGGTGGGGACAGCAAGAAGCCTGGGCCCAGACAGGGTTTTGGGAAGGTGAAACTTCTCTCTCTTCCCAAGTGTCAAGAGCCTCACCCTTTCCATATGGTTCACTACAAGCTCATTCCCTGTGGCCCCTCCTGTAGAGGACCTGGTGACTCAAGGGCTCCCCAGATTGCAAAGGCAGAAGCTGACAGACCTTCTTAAGGTTCAAGACCTGGAATTGGCACAGGGTCATGTCCACCATCTTTTAAAAAGTCCCTTTATTAAACCAATCTAAAAAGATCCCAAATTGCGTATGCCATCTCCTTCCTTTTGGGACCCAGGGTAGTTCCCACTTTATATTACTCTGCACTCTCTCCATGCCTGCATCCAGTAGAACTGAATTGCTTTGGTGAAAATCAATTGACTATACATATATGGATCAATTTCTGAAGTCTCCATCTGTTCCCATGGTCTATAAGTCCACCCCTACACCAATACTACATTGTCTTCCTTATTGAAGCTTTGTACTAAGTACTGAAGTCAGCTAGTGTAAGTCCTCCAATTTTGTTCTCTTTCAAATTTGTTTTGGATATTCTATATTGTATGCATTTTTTGGATAAATTTTAGAATCATCTTGGCACTTTCTATAGAAGAGCTTATTGGGATTTTCGTCAGGATTGCATTGAATCTATAGATCAATTTGGCAAGAATTAACATTTAACAAAATTGAGTTTTACAACTCATGAACATGGTATATAATTTTTTAGTAAGTTGCATACTCCATGAGGCTTTATCCCTAAATTCTTCAATGTGTATTTCCCAAGAATATGAGTATTGTCATGTATTTCCATAGTACCGCCATCAGCTTCAGCAAATTTAACATAGATACTTTTACCTTATCTGTTGTCTATATTTCAATTTTTCCAATTGACCCAATAATGTCCTTTATAGGGATCCCTGGGTGGCGCATCGGTTTATCTCCTGCCTTTGGCTCAGGGCGCGATCCTGGAGACCTGGGATCGAATCCCACGTCGGGCTCCCAGTGCATGGAGCCTGCTTCTCCCTCTGCCTATGTCTCTGCCTCTCTCTCTCTCTCTCTCTCTCTGTGTGTGTGTGTGTGTGACTATCGTAAATAAAATTTTTTTAAAAATTTAAAGAATAAATAAATAAAAAAGTTTAAAAAATAATGTCCTTTATAGCATTATTTCCTCTAGTACCGAATCTAGACCAGGATCACATGTTGTATTAGTTGTCGTGTGTCTTCAGTTTCCTTTCACCTGGAACTGCCTTTGTCTTTCATGAAATTGATAATTTTAAAGAATACATCCCTTTTTTTCCCTTTCATAGTCCCTCTTTTTAAAGAATGCTATTTAAGTGTGAAACCACAGTACTGCTGAATTCCCACATTTAGTTTTTTAAAAGTGGATGTAATTAAAGGCAGTTTTTGTAATAATTTTTACTTCTCAGAGCAGAGAAGCCCACTTTAACAAATAAATTACTGGATGCCTTTTGTGTAACAGAGTTGTTTTCTTTACTTATACATGGAACAGGATAAGCATTGCTGGACTGATTACACAGACTTACACATTTTACACAGAAATATATGTATTACAGTGATAGGACTGACTGAAAGGACTGCTTACCTGGTTCTCCTCTCCTTTCCAGGCATAAGAAGAAACTGTACTTCTGTTAGAATTGGAAAGTGCATTATCTTACATTAGTAAAAGTCTCTACTAAGGTAAGGAGTGCTTCAGGATTGATCAGTTCAACAGCTCAGTGTGCAGTCAAGGATCTGGATTCTTTCCATCATTCTCTTCTAAAGTCCTTGGTATTGTCTTCATCTTCATGCTCTTAATAAAACAGGAGCAGCAAGTCCTCTGTCCACATTCTCACAAGGAATTGTCAAGCAGAATAGGGATGACTTCTCTTCTAGCTGCCTCTCAGGATTGAGGGCAGTTTTTCCAGAAGCCTCCTCATAGACCTCCCCTCGTGTCTCATTGGCCAAAACTGAGTCTCAGGCTCATTCATAACTAATCATTGATAAGGCACAGCAGGATTATCTGTGGAAGAATCAGGTCTGTTCTTAGAATTGGGAGTATTGTGACCACAGGAGGGGGTTTCCTTGTAAATAAAGTCTGGGTGCTGTTAGGAAGAAGGAAGAACCATGATTAACCCTGATTCACCTGTTCAATAATACCTTCATTCCAGGCTTCATTCCATCTTTCTGTATTGGCTTCATTTCCAGGCTTGTGGCAAGATAGTCAAATTCTGAAATGACAAATGTCAAGTGTTTCCATATGTCAAATTCTGAAGTAACAATGTCCAGATGATAAAGGGAAGAAATGCCCGTTCTCATGGGTGGAGGAAAAAATTTCAGAGCTGTCTTCCTTCCAGCAGGATGCTCCTCACATCTCACTAGCCCAGTTTGGGTCACAAGCCATTCATGAACCAAACACTAGCAAGGAGTATAGAATTTGCACAATTGACTGATGCTAATTACCTGGGGGCAAGTGGATATTTGAGAGCCAACCTTATAAGTGGGAAGCTAAAGCCAAAATGAGGTGTACAGTTTGTGTAGGAGATAAAGGAGAGGAATAGAAGCAACACACGGTGAAGGCCAAGGTTCCTGAGATAGTCTGGGAATATAAGAAGAATGTCGTTAGTCTCGTCTCTACACTCTCTCAAGTTTGCAGAGGACTCCAGTCATAACCCTACAGGGAATCAGGGTAAGACCATAACTTATCACAGCTATGCCCCTAACAAAGTCACCTAGAGCAAGGCTGTCATACATTCATTCATTTTTTCACTCAACATTTATTGAGCACTGAGATAAATGCTAAGGATAAAAAATAATGATTTGTGGTCCCTTCCCTCAAGGATCACATATTCTGGTTGGGGAAGTCTTTTTTTGTGTGTTTTTTAAAAGATTTTATTTATTTATTTATTTATTTATTCATTCATTCATTCATTCATTCATTCATGAGAGACACAGAGATAGGCAGAGACATAGGCAGAGGGAGAAGCAGGCTTCCTGTGGGGAGCCCTATGTGGAACTCGATCCCAGGACCACGGCCCGAGCACGAAGAACTGAGTAGGAGTGTGAGCTGAGTCCCATGGCAGAGATAATGAGGTAAGGGGTGGAGGAATTCAGAGTTTGCCAGACAAATGAGGATAGGGAAAAGCATTCTAGGCAACAGGAACAGCATGTATGGAGACACTGGGGCCCGGAGGATATGGCAGGACAGAGGAACAGGAAACTAGGCAGTGTGCCTGGTGAGTCAGAGTCGTCAGAGTTAAGATCAGTAACGCGGGCTTTGCACTGAAAGGTCTCCTAAGCATAAGACTGGGATCCTTGGGCAGTAAGGAGCCATGGAAGGATTTTAAGGAGGAGCAGGACCTAGTCCAGTTTGTATCTTCCAGAGATTACGCTGGCAGTAGGGGGAAGATGTTGCAGGGTTGAGGCCCAAATCCAGCAAACTGTTTAAGAAGGTAAATTCAGTGGGTGGTAGACTGGCATTAAACTAGGAGAGGCATCAAAGTGCCACCTCTAGCAAGGCCGGACAAATGCTGTGTGTCGGGGGCTGCCCTGGACGGCTAGAACACATCCTGTCTCGAAGGTGGCCACAGCGACTCAGCCCAAGCTATGCGTAGCTACGGACCTCGTGGTGTCAGATTTTCCAGTTAAAAAAAAAAAATTTAAAAGCCCCAAAGCACTTGCTGTGAAATCTCCCAACATTTATATGTTGGTAACTAATTCAAAATTCAAAAACCAACACCAGCAGCAGCAGCAGCAGCAGCAGCAGCAGGACTATGCAGGCTAAATACATCTCCCAGGTGAATTTGAATGTTTACCAGCCTGGGGCCCTGGAACATGCAAAGGTCAAGGGCCTCTTTCAGCTCTGACCCTATAGAGTCCCTAATATCCCAGTGCTGTTTGTGCTACCCTGTCATTGGTCATTCGTGGGAAGCCATTCACGTGGATGAAAATCTTCAGTTCTGCTTTAACAAGCCTACCCAGGGATTTCCAGGGTTAGTGTTCACCCACTGATATTTTCATTCATTCATTCATTCATTCATTCATTCATTCAATGAGCATTTGTAGAGTGCCGACTATACACAAAGCACTGTTAAATGGAGGTAACATTTAGAGAAATAAAAGAGAGAAGTGGACCTGGGGGCTCGTGGAGGAGAAACTGGGATTTCCTTTCAAGAAGGAGAAATGGTTCATTTCTCATCCATTGCCTCCACCGGCAGGTCTTAGGGGAGAGCTCTGCAGCCTGGGCCAGAGTCTCAGTGGTCACCTTTTCCAGGGTGAGCAAACCTGTCCATCATGGGTCCCCCGGGGTACTCAGGATCTGACTGCTTCCTCTTTCACCCGAAGAAAAGACAAATGAAAATAAAGGAAAGAAAAATAAAATGTAAAAAAAAAAAAAAAAGAAAGAAAGAAATCAAATAAATAAAGGAAAGGAAAGGAAATCGCTGCTTAAAATTATTCCTGTGGGGCACCTGGGTGGCTCGGGGGTTGAGCTTCTGCCTTTGGCTCATGTCATGATCCTGGGGTCTCAGGATCAAGTCCCCCATCGAGCTCCCCACAGGGAGCCTGCTTCTTCCTCTGCCTGTGTTTTGCCTCTCTTTGTTCTGTCATGAATAAATAAATAACATCTTTTTTTAAAAAAAAAGACTGTGGTAACAGGTGACATTTGTTAAAGAGGGGTTT